AACCAATCACATCACATGCACAGAAATAGTCCAAGTATATGACCATGAACATACCCCTGGATACTCACAACATTATCAGTTTCGGACTAGCTATAAATAAAATATCTAGTAAACGAGCAAGGAAGTAGACTCAAAATATCTAGTAAACGAGCAAGGAAGTGGACTCACCTTCCATTGCTTCTTTGTAGTAGCTCAACATTTCTCGAGCTGTTCCCCTTCTCAAATAGGCCTTTACATTCTGCACGCACACAGGGTAAAGGTGAGGCACGTCTCATGTACAAAATCCAACATAATAAAAAATAAATAAATAAACTCCTATCTAGCAATTAACGAGAGAGAATTGCTTGGAAGAAGGGTACAAGCTGAGACCACCTTCATTTAACAATGGTTTCACTTTCAGTCACCCATAAGATATCATTCCATATGCTACAGTGGTAACATCAACATATTTCTTAAAAGTAGAAAACACAGTAACAATTCAATGAGAGAGGATACAGAAAACGCATGCATTGCAAGAAAAACGCATACAGATTACAAAGGGTGTGATTAAAGAAATGTGCCCCAAGGTTTTTTGGTCTTAATAGAAAGAACCTACGGACAATTTATGCCCAATACCCCAACTATGAACATATTCTAATGGTGGTTAATGTTGCGGGTGGATGTAATTTCGTAAATGTACTAGTTTTGTTAGGAAGGATGAGTTTATGAAATCAACCTTCGGATAGAAAGTACTAGTAACAAAGAAAACCAACACCACCATAATAACAATAGTATATGAGGACGGGAAAAATAAAAACTAACAGAGTTCTGTCAAAAGAGGAACAGAGATAAAAGTGATAACACGCCCACCTACTGAATTTGGGGGCAAATGAATAATGGAAGGATAAACCATACACAGCATGGAAACTACTAATACTTCATAGGAATTGAGATACAGAAGCCACAACAAATTTCTATCAGAAGGATAAAGGAAAGATAATTATTCTACTTCTTGAATTGGTAAGCAGAAGAATGAGTTGGAGAGATGACCATGCACAGAATGTAAATCTTTAACTTATATTATTTCCAGAGTGAGAAATTAGTAATGCTTCATATGAATTCAGAGGCACACAAGCCCAAAGCAATGGTGACAAGAAGCATATTCAATGTCTACAAACTGAAGGATAGATAGGTAACCTTCTTATCGAGATCAACTGCTTGGGTACAATCTGCTTCAGCCTGAATGAAACTGGTAAGGAAAAACTAATAAGGAACACACATAAAAATGTCCAAATGGCGCAACAAAATAGAAAGGTTTATAAGTTGAACTACCTTCCAATTTCCAAATAAGCTGCAGCTCTGTTACTGTAGTATGTTGCATTATTGCTATTGAGTTTGATGGCTTCTGTATAAAATCCAATAGCTCTCTGCCATTGCTTGCCTTTGAATGCTTGATTACCCTTGAGATGAGACAATAAATAAGATGACAAATCACTATAGATTAACATACAGAGAAATGGGAATTAAGGGATGCGTTCTATTCTAATTCCGTTTGTCAGATTAGAGGCTGGACAGGTAGATGATCTAATGAATTTCTCAATCAAGAGAAAACCCAATTGCTTTGCAACAAAACCTCAAGTACTGCAAAAGCATGTGGGATCAATGTTATGTGCATGACTAAAGAGAAGAGTTTTAAAAGGACAGCCTAAATATTTATTTGTTACTCACTTGCTCTTAGGAATGATAATAACATGGCTAAATTTCCCCACCTTAGTTCTTGAAGTGTCGACAATTAAGCTATTATAGATAACACCTACTTAGAAACACCAGAATGCTGATCACTTACTGTAATTTATTGGGCTAAAAGTCCACAGAAGACATGCAAGAGATACAATTTTTGTTACATTTTGAACACTCAAATAAAATTTCACATCAATTCACAAAAGGTGGGAGTGCCATCGAGAACTCACAAACTATCTGATGGAGTAAAGTACAGCGAAGAGATGGAAAAGAAAACATTCGAATAAAAGTAAAAGGTTATAACCAAGGATGTCGATAAACATCCACTTCCTAGAGATATTCTTCTTTCTCATGGAATATTTGATTCCTCCTCTCCTAGCGAAAGACCCATATTAATAGACTAAGATAAATAGGTAAATAAAGTAAGAAAACTTAACATGATAATCCTTAATTTTGAGCTCCTTGATTTTAGGATCACTCACTCTTTATTATTCAGCTCCACCAATGATAATTGGATCTTGCAACTTACATGTTTGATTAGTTCCCATATTTATCAGATCCTTTGGATCTCTAACACTATATAACCAATAAAAGAAATAGCGACATAATATGGTCGGACTTAGGAGGCTCGTAGGATGAAACGAACACATGATTACCTACCCGCTAAACAATTCATGTCAGCACCCAACAAACAATGAAACAAAAAGAAGAAGAAGAAGATTATTCAGGATTTACCTTTTCTTTGGCCATCTCTGCTGATGTTTCCTGTGTCACAGCGTTACTAGATGATTTAGGCTTTACAGCTGCATCAGCTAGTTCCTAGAAAGAAGCATATACAGAGTGCAGCGCATCCAGCAGAAATCTATCATCTCCATGCCTGGCTAAGAGTGACAGAGAAACTGGGCACTTTTCATGGACTCCGAGAGGTAACGCAGCCTAAAATGGTAAAAGTGAACTTGTATGAAAACAGACGATATTCAATCTTACACTAGCAAGGGTGCATGGGAAGAGAGAAGGGACATTAACCTGACAGCAGCCTGACATACTAGCTAAACTTGAAAGACTTGAAGTCCGAATAACGTAATCCTCCGTAGAAATCTCCTTGGCACCAAGTTTTGCGGGAGGATCAAAAGATGTCGGAATCACTAATATCCCATCATCCTGGTTAGAACAAAATAACAAGCGAAAGTCATATAGCAGCATTATCCAAAATGTGAGGAAGTATCAAACTGAACTACTGAAGCCAAATCTATAAACTTTATTTGACTGGAGTTGGGATATCTGCCAAAAGGGACGTAGTGTTGTTTGCCTCCACACGACTAAACCACCTAGTTTTGCAGCAATAAGATCATACTGGGAAAGAATCATATGGAGTGGCTCAATAAATATGGGTCATTTTATTGTAGGTCAAAGCAATTATGCAAAGCAGATGATATCAGGATACGAAACCAAATCCAACAGAAGGTGACAAACTCAAGACACATAAGAAAAAACTACCAACCTAACATGCAATTCTAAGACTAGCAATCATCTCTATTTTTATATATCAACTAGGAGAGAATAGTACCCAATTGTTAAAAAGTACTCAGCATTGGTTTTAAAGTAAAAAGTACTTGTCAAAGTTGTGATTTGTGAAGAACTTCATCTTTCTCCTATAAGGCAAACCTTAAATGTCCAGATTACATCCAGAAACAGCAGACCAGAGATGGGGATACAAATTATTTTTGTTAAAGCAAGCAACAGTGAATGATAACAATTGAAATCAAGAAATCACTTCAACGTTCATTTCCCAATAATATATATCCAAGAGTGTTATCAATTAATTTAGAAACCCAAAAAATCTTATCACTGCAAGCATGATTTTTCCTATGATCCTATGTCTATTGATTACCCTCCAAGTGGCATTATTATACTATTATCGAGATCGGCATTCCTCTTTGTGGGGGCCCGTTTTGAGGCCCCAGGTCGGCACCTTTTCCCGGTTTGTTCCTCCAGTTACGAAGAGCCTTCTTCCAGGTCGTCATTAGTCAGGCTGGCACCGGAAGTATACTGTCTCAAACGCCGGGCTAACGGACGGACTTATGGGAGCGTCAAGGTCAAAAAATTTCCCGGTCCAGCTCGGCACTTACTCACTGGACCGGGTCTCCGGTTTGGCCCTCGAACTCGGGTGTCAACACCTTGTTTGGTTAGAAAATGAAAGGGAAAGAAAAATAATGTTAAATTGACTATTTTATCTTTAATGATATAAGTAATATAAAGATAAAATAATCTAAATATTAAGGAGAGAAATGTAATCTCAACTCATTAAATTTTCTTTCCCCTCTAAATCCTCCCAATTTTGGAGGGAAGCAAAAAACACTATTTAGAGGGATTTTAATAAAAAATTTCCCTTCCCCTCCCCCTTGAAAAATTGAACCAAACAAGTGAAATATAATTTTTTCTCTCTCCTCCCCTTCAAAACCTCCCAACCAAACACTACCTGAGGGTTCTGTGCGAAAAAACTTGGCTTGACGGATGGGGCCAAAAAAACGTAAGAGTATCCCTGCAACATTTTGATGACTGAGTTCAGAATTGTCAACTATCGAGCGAATCGTGTGTGGAGAGACAATTATAAAAGTCGCACATAACTTTTTTTTACATGAACAAAAAATCAATCGCTACTATGATTTATAATAAAGTGTTTTTTAGCGGCTTTACTGTAGATTTCAAATTTATAAAATTAAATTCCAATAATAGAGGCTCCAGGTAAATTTTAGTTATTACTAATACTCTTTTATGCATTCACATATAGAGCGAAACCAATTTAATTATATTAAGCATTACATAAAATTAAATTCAATAATATAAATAAAAATTAATATAAAATTAGTTGTATACAACATTATATATATGTCAACCAGTCCTTTCTATAAAAAAGAGAAAAAAAATTGTCCTTTCTATATGAAATATATTTATATTTTTTTGATTAGTTATTTTTGTCATCGAAACTTTTAGTTATTACTAAATAGCATATTAAATTAATACTCCATCATATTCATAATACGTGTCGTTTTGACAAGTTGCACATTAATTAAGAATTTTTTTTTGCCAATAATAACCCTCTTTAATGAAGATAGAAATGAATATTTTGAGAAAGATGAAGAGTGAATATAAAAAAACGTAGAGCATTTATTACCTAAATGAGGGTAAATGATGAAAAAATGTATACAAAAGATCTAAAACGTCATCTATTTGGTTAATGGTTGATAAAACTAAAATGACGTTTAAAAAGAACAGGAGGTAATATATTATAACACTTCGGGTCAGTTTGGTTGAAATAATAGATTGAGCTTGATATAATCTTTTTTATTATTTCAAATGTTATCCATCTACTTTGTTAGTCTATTAACTTGTTTGGTTTAGAATTGGATTCAGGTTGAAAATAGTTTTTTACCCTCCGTTTCAAATTAAATTTTTAAAGTTAGTCCAACAATTGAGAAAATGGAGTTCGGAAAATGAAAATGGCGGTTCCCAGTTCTTCAACCGCATCCGCAAGTTCTCCACCTTGCAGGCCCTCAGCGGCCACCAGAATGCGCACAAGCGAGAGAAAGACGCCACCAGGAGATTGTTGACGACCGCATGTGGATTCTCCCGCCATCCGTCTACCGTCGCCTTCTCGGCCGATCCAAAATTAATTTCCACCAGATCCGAAGCCTTAGGTGTTGTTGTTGTTTACGAAATAAATAAAAAAAAAAAAGGAATAAGAAGATGAAGAAAGGAAGGCACAAAGAAGAGGAAGAGTGTTTACGAATAACAAAATAAAAATAAAAATAAAAATAAAAAGATGAAGAATATAAGGCATAAGGCACGGAGAAGATGAATGATTATTTTGTAAATTTGAATGAAAAACAGAGTGGGATTACATATCCCACCTCATAGGTGGGATACCTAATACTGAAAGTTGTTAATACTTATCCGAGCTATTTTGTTTTAACAGGAATGCACTGCCGAACCAAACATCTTAATAGGCATGAAATAATAACAATAAGTCGGATATCCCTCCCAATCCGGCCAACCAAACGGACCCTTAACATAATAAAACCATCTACAACATGGTATGCAAAAGACTTCCGACCGGCTGAAAATCGGCCTGACTCGAGCTCCTCGCCGGTTGAACGCCTAAAGACTTGCAAAAACTCTCACATCAGAGGGGTTTTCCGGTAAAGAGTCATTGATGATTAAGTTAGCACTATGAAGAAAATGAAGTGTTGTATAGTGTATGGAATAGTGGAGAATGTAATTTGATAATGAGAATACCTCACTCCCTTCTATAGGGTGGTGATACCTTGTTGCTTAAAAAAGCCCGAGTGGGCTGCCCAAGCTGCACGTTCGTACTGCCCAAACTGCTCGATCTGTCTAAAGTATCGAATTCTGTTAGGTCTCGTGGCCCTACCAACGTGGGGCTCTTATTCTATTAAGATTCATTCTCAGTATTTCGTATTAGACCGCCTAATGGTGCGACTAGCTCGAGGCCTGTTGAGGTAGAATGTTGTTTGTTCTGAACCTAAGAATTGTCTTCTCTAGTCGATCACACGACCAACCATGCCTACAGGTTGAGTTTTCAACAGGCCATCCGAGAGCCCTAGCTCGACTTATCGTTGTCCATTTGAACCCCTCTCGCTCATTTCGACCAGAAGACTTATTGTCGACGATCGACCTCCCTGCTGCTTCGTCGCAACCACCCAGTTCGTTCGACCTGATTGGGCGGTTTATTGAGTTTGCTCCTCCAAGTATGGTATCTGTCCCCCCTCCCCCCCACCCCACCCCACTATGATCGAGTTAGAATAACTCGATCTAAGAGTAGATTTGTCATTGATTTTGGTTGGTGAATTCAAGTTTGTTGCTTTTCGACCTATCTGTTCATTTTTCTTCAACGGCCTCTCTCTTTGGACCTTATCTCAAATTTGAAATTTGAACTTCTACCATCTTGTCAGATCCCATCGGTTAAAACGTCCAACTGACGTCACCGTCCCATGAATCCTGCTGTCTCGTACGATGTACCCCATAAATGCTTCATTGATGTTGTCTGTTGGATCCGCCCTTAATCCAATTGATGAATTCACATTGTCTCTTCAACTAACTCATTAAATTTCAGCCATTAGTTTTTGGAGATGAATAAACGAAAAACATTTCAATTTCACATATTGATCTAGTCAACAGTAGCATTTCAAATTCAATGTTATTATTTTTAAGAATTAAAACAAGAACTTTGTAACTTATTCTCTCTTAAGCTTTTCCGTATTATTGGGTCCTTGGTCCTCATCATAATCATCGTCAGCAGCAAAAGTTTCACAAGATGAATCAAGGGTGGCTAGAGCATTCGCAGCTTCGGAATCTTTCGGCGGCAATATGTCCTAAAGGAGGTGGTGGAAGAAGGAGGAGGGCGGCGGCGTCGAAAAATCTTCTACTAAAAATTCCTTCTCTCCAAAGATTTGGAATGTGGATTTGGGAAAAAAAATTGGGATGTGAATTGGGGGAAAACTAGATCTGATAGAACGAGAAAATATAGGTTAAATAAGAATAAAAGAAATTAAATACAAAAACAAAATAGAAAATAATAACTGATGTTTGACATAAAATATAGAAATCAATATGACATTTTTCACTTAATCATAAAAGTTTGTATTAATGTAAAAAATGTTTAAAAAGGTGAATGAGTGTCTTTATTTCCAAAATTTGGGATATGTCTTGTAAAATTAAAATCCCTCCTCGACTCTTTCTAAATGTCCAAAATTATTCGCGGTTGGATGTCATTTTATTCATCCAACGGCATAAACTTCGAGGGTGCAATTGCGAATTACCTGTGTCAAAAGCCAGAAGTCTCTTCTTTTAAAACACACCGTTTGATCATCCACGGATGCTACATAGAGTCTTGCCGCCATGGCTGCGCCGTGCCGAGCATCATCATCGTCTACAATGCATATTCTCCTTTCTGCAACACGATCTCTCAACGTCGGCTTCTCAATTATACCTGCACAAGCCACCGAGCGAAGAAAATGAAGCACAACCATCCCCAACCCCAGAGTTCGATTCTCATGCGTACGCGGGAATTCTCCAGCACTGCACCAAAACCAACGACCCCAACAATGGAAAAGCCCTGCACTGCCACATCTTGAAGAGGGGAAACTGTTTGGATTTGTTTTCTCGCAACATTTTGCTCAACATGTACGCGAAAACGGGGTTTCTGCATGACGCAGTCAGGCTGTTTGATGAAATGCCCGATAGAAACGTGATATCCTTTGTTACAGTGGTTCAGGGATTTATGGAACACGAAGAGTACAAAAAGGCCATTGAGTTGTTCTCCAGGTTGCATAAGGAGGGTCATGAGCTAAATGCGTATGTTTTCACCACGCTTTTGAAGTTGCTTGTGAGCATGGGCTCGGTGGATCCGGTGTGGGGCATACATGCTTGTGCTCACAAGCTAGGTCACGACTCCAATGCTTTTGTTGCCACAGCTCTTGTTGATTGTTATTCGGTTTGCGGGTGTCCAGGGGCTGCTAAAGAAGTATTTGAGGGAGTTGTTCACAAGGACATGGTTTGCTGGACAGGTATGGTGTCGTGTTATGCTGAAAATGATTGTCATGAAGAGGCGCTGGACCTCTTTGGCCGAATGAGGTTCGAAGGCATGCTGCCGAATAATTTCACTTTTGGGAGTGTGATTAAGGCTTGTGTCGGGCTTAATGCTGTTGGTTTGGGGAAGAGTGTTCACGGCTTAGTTCTGAAGACTAGTTACGAGCAGGATGGTTATGTTGGTGTCTCGTTGCTTGACCTGTACACTAAATCTGGAGACATCAGAGATGCCCGGAAAGTATTTGAGGAAATCCCTAAAGACGATGTTGTCCCCTGGAGCTTCATGATTGCCCGCTACTCGCAGAGTGATTGCTGTGAGGAGGCCTTGAATATGTTTTTTCGGATGAGAAAAACGACAGTATGGCCTAACCAGTTCACTCTAGCTAGCGTTCTTAAAGCCTGCGCAACTCTTGCAGAACTGGAATTGGGAAAGCAGATCCACAGTCACATTCTCAAAGTCGGTCTCGACAGGAATGTGTTTGCTTCGAACGCCCTCATGGACGTGTACGCCAAATGTGGAAAAATGGAGGCCTCGATGGATTTGTTCACGGAGGCCCGAAATATAAACGAGGTCTCGTGGAACACGATAATAGTCGGGTACGTCCAGCATGGCGATACCGAGAAAGCCTTTACACTCTTCTTGAATATGCACGAGGAGGGAGTGAGGGCTTCCGAGGTAACTTACTCCAACTTACTCCGAGCTGCCGCCAGCATGGCAGCTCTTGAGGCCGGCGTTCAGATCCATGCAGTGGCCGTCAAAACCATGTACGAAGGAGAAGACGTCGTTTGCAACTCACTCATCGACATGTACTCGAAATGCGGGCGAATAGAAGACGCGCGTCTCGTTTTCGATTCCATGGGCGAGCGGCGAGACATTATCTCGTGGAACTCGATTTTGTCGGCGTACGGGACCCACGGCCTCGGAGCCGAGGCTCTGAGAATATTCGAGAGCATGCGCGAAACCGACATCACGCCTAACGAGATGACTTTCGTGGCCGTGCTCAAGGCGTGCAGCAATGCAGGGCTGTTAGAGCAAGGGCAGTCGTATTTCGCCTCCATGAGGGAGAATTACAGGATCGAGCCTTGCATGGAGCACTACACGTGCATGGTGTCGCTTTTCGGTAGGTCGGGTCATCTCGACAAGGCTGTGAAGACGATAGAGGAGGTCACAAACGAGCCGCCGAGCGTGATGATGTGGCGCGCTTTGCTCGGAGCTTGCGTCGTGCATAAGAATGTCGAGATTGGGAGATTGGCTGCCGAGCGCGTGCTCGAGATGGAGCCCTTAGATGAATCTGCTCACGTGCTGATGTCGAATATATACGCGAATGCCAAGAGTTGGGAGAATGTGGCTGTTGTGAGGAAAAGTATGGTGAGGAAAAGGGTGAAGAAAGAGCCGGGGCTTAGTTGGGTAGAGAATCAAGGGACGATTCATTATTTTGCAGTTGGGGACGAGTCGCATCCTGAGATTAAATTAATCCGGTGTATGCTCGAGTGGTTGAACTTGAGGAGCAGTATTGCTGGGTATGCTCCTAACTGTGATGCTATCTTGCTTGATGTGGAGGAGGACGAGAAGGCACGTTTATTGTGGCTGCATAGTGAGAGGATAGCTTTGGCGTATGGTCTGCTTAGGCTGTCTCCTGGGAGTACTATCCGCATTATTAAGAATCTACGGATATGTGCCGACTGCCATGTGGCGATTAAGTTTGTGTCTCAGTTGGTGGGTAGAGAAATCGTCATTAGGGATATAAATCGGTTTCACCACTTTCGGGATGGGGTTTGCTCTTGCAATGATTACTGGTGATTCTTTAACAAGTTTGTTCGCAGTGGATGGAAAATGGTGTGTACACACACCACTGATGAGTGGTGAGTGGTGACTATCCTTTGTTGGTCAGTCATCCATAACTTCTCTGTCCCTTACTAACCTTTATAAATTGTCAGAAATTGATTTCTGTGTGTTACTATTCCCTTTTCTTTATTACCAACATTTTTTTCGTTGCAGCTTCACTTTATTTATTTTTATTTTTTTTCAATTTATTCAAGAAATGCCTTACGGCATTTGGTAAATGTCACTTGCCAGCTTATGTACCTGGTTTTATTAAGATCTAGAGAGATCAAACAATATTTGATCATAGAGTTCCCAACGCGAACATAATGCAATGTATCAGGTCTTATCAAACCAATTTGGTTGCATGCCCGACTGCCCCTACAATTTTGTTATGTTTCCAAGTTCTAATTTTGTTGACAATGTAATTTCTGTCGAAATGGCTGTATTAGATTTATAACGTGTCTGCCTTATTATTTTCTATTTCGGGAAAGTTTTGAATTTCAAAAACAGCACCAGTTTACTATAAATTACTTATACGTAATGCTGTTGCATTTGGAGGTATTTTTTTTATCTTGTTTTTTCTTAATTGTTTTACATGCATATTTTATTTCACTTTGTAACTTGTGATTATATTGAACAGCGTGCTGATGTAACTGCCACCATTTCCTGAACAGGCTCTTCAAGAACTTGCCTTAAAAAAATTAACATTGTTGCTCTATGGTTATTAAGGAGCAAGCTCTTTTCTCTACCATCAGGTAGCTTCAAGTTTGCTTTTCCTATTCTTCTGATTTTTGGATTTTGGATAAGAATTTTGTTTATTTAGATTTATGTTTTTCTTGGAAGAAGGGCGTTCTAAAGTAACATGGATCCTAAAAACAACTCTTTTTTACGTGGGCAAGTTGTCAAGACCAAGACGGCTCCAAGCCGCCAACTTCCGCCTCAATCCGTTCGTGCTTCATGTGCCATTGCTAAAAAAGATAGCATCATGCAAAAATTCATTTCTCAAGGTATTTTAACGTAGATGCTTTACATTTTCTGCCCAAACTCCTCTTTTTTTATGACCCATTTTGGTTTTTCCTCTAAATATTATACTGTTGTAGAGGCTAACCAAGAAGCTGGTGAGACTTTACTAGGTCTTATGAAATTTGACAATATTTTCTGCTGAAACAATCACAGAGCATAGGGCTCTCTTTCGCTTCTACAGTTGACTGAAAGATGTAAACTTATATTTTCCTTATATTCACTGGCATATGAAGACATAAACTTCTTTTTTCCTCATATTCACAGGTATACGGTGTTTGTCATCAGTTCACGTTGACTTCTCGCATATTTTGTCGATTTTGATTTTTTTTTTTCATGTACATTCACATAAGTTCGTCGCGTTATTTTACCCTCCGTATCAGTTTTTTGAACTTCTTGGAGGTCTGATAGACTGATAGTCTGGTCTTTATTTAGACATTTTGGTTGTGTTCTATATATGATGATGTATAACATGTGGAGAAGGGAAAGAAATTTATGCCAAGTAGAAAAAAATATTCATAAGAAAGGTATACGTTTGTGTTATCTGTAGCATGTTAAATCTTGTTGGATTCTGCATTTTATTGCATCATAGTTTATTTAGCTATTTATGTGTTGTGATGAGCGATTGCCTTAGGTTCTGTCACCATTTATGTGCTCAATGACATGACATCAAATATCGAGTTCATGCAATTTATAAGTTTATATTCCTATAACCTATTTACTTCCTAAATATTTTAACTTACTGAATTTTTTCTTAAGCATGTTAGAAAAATTGAAACTAATGATTTTTTCATTAAATGCGAACTCAGATTCTATTTTCCTACGGCATATTTATTATAATGGCAAAATTGTAACTAATATCATGATATTTTGAAGAACTTGCATTATAATTAGGACATTTATACATTTGCAAATTATATCATCACCTTCACCTTTTCAAATCGGTTCATGAATGTGGAAATCCTACCAAAGAAATAATGAAATTTATGTGGATCAATCAGGTGATTGAATTAGGTTACTTGTTAGATTGATTGAGTTACTTTTAGTTGATATTTAAAATATTTAAAATAGTAAAAAAACATGACACAACTGAGGTTGGTCCCGAGTGATCAAGTTAAGGGTCAGTTAGTCAGACCAAATTGATTATTTAAACTAAATATAATGTTTAATATTATAAATACTTTATTACGATAAATGTAACGTAGTTCATGTTCCAAATAATCATATTAAGAATACTTTTATGACAACATGTTCTATGATTTATGAGAATTTATATATTATTTATTAATAGGCATGTGAACAAAATGATATTGTATTACAATTTTATTAAAGTACGGAAAATCCAATGTTCTCAAAAGAGGGTCGTCTTCAAACCGATCAAGTTAGTTATTCAATGAATTATTAGTTGTACCAAAATTTAATTCGTTAATATTTTAATATATATGTATAGTACTTTTTGTAATAAATTTGTATAAAAAATATCAATTAAATATGTGAACAATTTAAAATTTTTCAATGTTTAAACTAAATGATAAATAATTTATAAATCTTTATTTTATTTAAATATATATTTTATTTATATTAAAAAAAATAAATGTAACAAAATTTATCTTAAAAATCATACCAATCTTATAAGTCCGACAGAATGGTGTTGACCGTTTAGTAGCAAACATTTTATTTAAGTGAACTGAACTGGCCGTCTCTATCCATCCGGTAGGATAATTCGGTCTTGTTTTATTTTGAAAATAATAGATAAATCATGAATAATGTCATTGAGCCAAGTACTATATAAAATGTAAATTGGTGAAAAATCATGCAAAATACCATTTATTTTTTATTTTAATAATATTTTCGCTTCCTAAAAAAAGTCAAAGTCAGCACTATCCTCCATGCGCCACCTCCCATCATTTCCCGCCCGTTTATTTGATAAGAGTAAATTTGCAGAGAAAGTCAGATAGAGAAAAGTGAACTAGGGTTTTCGATTTTCGCGGGGATGAGGCCCGACGATTACAAGTTCATGCGAATTGTGGACGCAGTGACTTGCGTTAATCAGAAAGTCAATCTCATCGGCGTTGTCGTCGAGACTAGCCTCCCCAAGAAATCTAAAGGAACAGGTACTGTTTTTTTTTTTTTTTTAAACTCTCCACCGTACTTAAATATTCCTTTAACCTGTTTCTCATTTTCTTTTGGTAATTTCCTTTGTCTGTTTCAAGATTTTTTCTGTTCAGCGAGGATCATTGATGAATCATGGACGGCACCTGGTATTTTCATAAACTTTTTCGCTGAAACTATGGAGAAGCTCCCCAATTTAGAGTGTGTCGGTGACATAGTTATAGTTTCTCATGTTGTGGTAATCAATCTTCTTTCTCTTCACATAGTTCTGGTCTCTCTCTCTCTCTCTCTCTCTCTCTCTCTCTGGAGTTTCGGGAGGTGGGACATTGTTTCTGTTGAGTATTCATTTTCTGGCTATTTCTTTTTTTGCGCAGGTGAAAATGAGGGGTTCTGATGTTTATGCTTTGTTTAACAAGAAATTCTCATCTTTCGCCTTATTTGAAGGGAGACAGCATAGTGGCAAAGAACTTGTGCCCTATCAAATTTCTTCGAAATATAAACCAAGAGAAGAGGACAAGAAGTTCGTAACAGCATTAAGGAGATGGACTGTCCAACACAAAATTGAAGGTAGGTTCTTGCATTAACGTAGTCTGTACATTCAACACACATCTTTAATGCTGTTGGGTTGTTCAGATTAATTATTTCATCTTTTTAAGCTAGTTTTTCAGTTTTTTCGTGAAAAGGATGCATATTTCTTGCAATTGAAGTCTCTTACTGACTGATGGAATTAAATTTTTTGCAATTTTCTGTTAAGCAGTCACAGTGGGGAACATTTTGAAACACTGTAATTGGACTTAATTACATAACTTTGCAGGATTTTCTATGTTTGATTTTGATATATAGGCATAAATGAGTACCTGTCACTGAGAGAAATCAAAGAAGATGAACGTGTCAATCTTCTTTGCAAGGTAATTCAGAGTTATGTGTAACCCATATGTAATTGATTAAAAGAGTTCTTTCCTTTAGTAGTAAGTAATTGTTCGTGTCCTGTTTTTGCTCCAATTCTAGATTTTGCATGTTTGTCAAGTCAAGGAAGATGAGTGGGTGATCTTTGTTTGGGATGGAACAGACACACCGCCTGCTTCTGTTGACAGCAAGTTTGTATATCTTTTCTTTTATATACACCATTAGTTTTTGCTTGTCTATTCCTCTCACTCTTTTGGTTCTTAGGCTGTGTTATATATTTACACACATGTGATGTGATATCTGGGCATATTATATATGAGATAAGGTGTCTCTGCTATTGGATGGGGAGTGCGGTGGGCCTCGAGAATGAATTTTGTCACTTTATTAATTTCGCAATGCATAAGTGTAACTGCTGAAATCGTTGTATTGCTTTGGGTCCGTAGCCTATTTCAAGATAATTTAGTTTGTATAATTATTTTTTCAGCTTGCACATTTTCTTTATAGCTTGAATTTACTACAATACAATATCCAATTAGGAATTTAGGTGGTAAAAGTAGATTGTAACATCTCAACTTGCCCAAAGGGGAATTATTTGTGCCTTATTGGGTAGGAGTGCCAAGGAACTTAGTTGTTCATCAAAAGCTGAATCAAAGATCTTCTCTGCATGTTGTATATTGCTTATTTTCAATTCCTGAGATTTTATATCTTAGTGGAATAAGTTATCCAAAGACTCATTTCAAAACTAGTTTAAGTGATGGCCAAACTAGCTTAATGTCCAGTTTCAGCGGTCTCATTGGATGATTACTGTTGAAACCATTACTAAGTGAGAAAGAGACTACTTCGTACAAATAGCTTAAGTATGTTTTCTGTGGAAGAACAATCGATGTTTCATTAGGCGGGGTTTGAATATAAGGAAGGCAAACCATAAGTATCCTCTTAGTTTGGTCTCTCAGTGCATCTTGTAACCTTGGTTCTGGCGTTAACCCAACATTATGCATTGTAAACTGAGTCTTTTCAAGTTGTTATGTTTTGCTAGATTAATAGTGGTGAAGTTGACACATTTTCACCAAAATTCCTCAAGTTCGTTTGACATTTTTGGGAAAGCTATATATCACAAACAAATGGATGGGGTTGTGGTCTGATGCATTGGCTTTTAGATTAATTTGACATTAGAAAAATTGGTTCTTCTTCCTCTGGTGGCTTTAGTATCTAATATGACTCTTATTTAGTATCAAATAAGTTCTTGGTCACTTGGTTGTTTACACCGTTCCTTCATAATATCTGTTATCCTAATGACCTGGACACATGAATTTAGCATATTAAGAACCTATCTCGAAGCTATAATCATGAGTTCTCGTTGTCTGCCATTTCAGACTCGAAGATGAGATAGAAAATCCGATTCCTCTACAGTTGGAAATGCCTCCTTTGTCAAGAGACACTTTATGTACCTTTCCATCAGTTGGAACAGTCTTGAGGATGTTTGTAGATCAAGGCAATGAGAAATTAGGCATAACCTTACTTAAAACAAATAGGTGGGTGAAACTTATTGGTGTGAAATGTGAAGTTCGTGCTGCTTCACGGTGTGCTATGTTGATGCCCTTCTCCAAGCTTTGCTATTTGCCTGATGATGACAGTGTCGTAATTGAGCGCCTAAGGTGATTACTGCTCAAAGTATTTTGTTATATAAATTATAAATATGTTATGTAACCGAATATATATTTGGCTCAGTATTCTATTTGTTTCTTTTGTATTTCTGCTGAATATAAAATTACAGCGTATTAACAATGTATATCAGTGGTGGGTGTTCCTGATGATGTTGAAACAAGCCGTTTAGATGAAATTATTAGTTGTGATATCCGCTTTGAATCCTCAATTTGCATTTGAAATTTTATTATGAATATTTTTAGATAATTTAACAATAGGAAAAGTTCAATTGAGATTCTACCCAAACCAATTGTAAATATTATAGTATTTTATTTATTTGTTCTTTTCTCTTAGATTTTGATCTTTATTTCTGCAACCAAAACATGTGACTTGACACCATTGTTTAGAAAGATTGACGTGATCCTAGTTAATATTCATCCATGACATGTGAATCAGGTCTTACAGTGAGCGTATTTCATCTAAGTGGGGCCGAATACCCTTCACAAGTTTCCCCTGGCCGTCTCACATAACAGGTTTCATCGCAATAGATATTGGATGATTTTGCATTTTGATTTATCTTTCTAAGTCATTGTTTAATATGCCCTTATTTGTGGATCTTCAGAGACGGATCACCCTGATATTGCCTTTGTAACTTTAATGGATGTCCTCACACATCCAGAGGTGAGCCATCTCTTTCAATCTCTCCATCTATTGGTTATACAACAACACACCTCTATGTAACATGTATAAACATCATGCATACATTGACATTAGTAGAAAACATACTATTTTCCTTGAACGTTTGTGTAACTGCACCTCTTTACGAATGTTAACTGGTATATGCTCTTGAATATTCATCATTCTTTTACTTTATATATTTGGCTAAAATCATATCTAATCGAACATTTCTATTGACTGTGAATGGTACTTATCTGGTACATTGACAGTAAGGTTCTATTGAAGATCTGCTGTTTTAATATCCATGTGGATATATCAAATCAAGAAAGTTTTCGAATATGAAAATTTCTTGAATGTGTGCTGAATTCTTCAAGGTCAAACTAATTCTATAAATTGCATACTATTCTCGTTCAATTTACCGAAAGAACTGATGTTGGGGTACATGTATGCAATACAACTTTTTCTTTAATCATGAGTTAAATAGATCTTGATGTCACTTCCATCTTATGGGCCTGTTTGTTGCAGGTGACTTATAAATTTAGGTGTGTTGTTCGGGTTGTTGCAATATTCCCATGGAGGGCAGAGGACTTTACCTCTCATAATGGTGTGTACAGAGTGAGGTTGACTCTGGAGGATCCCACTGCAAGAATTCATGCATTTCTTTATGCAGAGGATGGGGTAAAAGACTTAGCTTATTATTAGATTTTTATTTTTATTTTTTAGTTTTTAAAATTTCGTCGCAATCATAATTTCCTTAAAACAGTGGCCCAAATCTTCCCTACTCTCGAACTTATACCTGTTCCAGTTTATTCACGAGTAATGTAAAATTTCATTTGTAGCCATTGGATATCTCAAACCATATTAAATTGCTAAGAAGATTGTCAGAAACCATTTTAAATTGTTAAGAAAACTGTAGTCATTATTTTGGAACGTTTGCAGAGGAAATTTTTCGGGGATGTTGATTCTGGCGATAAGATAACACGGAAGAGAAATATGTTGCTTGGAAATGCTGACGATGGCGATGCCACGGCAATGAAAAATGTTTCGCGAAATCCACCATGGATACAATGTTGCTTGAAATCTTATTATCTGGACAAAAGCAATATTTGGGGGAGTAGGAATTACCGGATATTTGGCACTACTATTGTCGGATGATTGTATATGGTTTACTGATGGGTAGATTGACTTTGACAAGTTATCCTTTATGTGCCTTCAAATTAGGTAGAAAGCTTCATAATCTGTAGATCATAGGATTTTTTAGTTGTAACAAACTACGACTTGTTGACTCTGTGTATTAATTTTGATCGGTTAGTCAACTACGACATGTTGATTTTGTGTATTAACTTTGATCGGTTAGTCAGACCACCGACCATTTTTTCTGAACAAAAAAATTCCTTAAAACTACAGTGCATAAAGTAATACATCGATTACTTGAGTACTTCATATTTATTGATGGATGTTTATTTCTTTTCACACACCTTCAGTAGGAGGGGATCTTTTAACAAGTATGCATTATACATACAGTTGTCTGGTTTGCGCTTAAGAAGCACGACCAAGTGAAGTGTTGCTGCTGTCTTTATTCGGTCGATAATTTGGATAACTTTACGTGGGAAAAGAGTATCAAAGACTTGATCCAAGATTTCTTGCCCAAACTGCTTCCTTACTAACTCATCTGTGTATGTGTGTGTGTATGTGAGGTTGCCCTGTTTTTAGAGTTGCATTTAAATAGTAGGAGCATCATGAGGTAAAAGCTACCTCTAAAAGTCGGCCAAACCTCTCTGACTCTCAAACAGACTCACTTGGCTCTTGTGTCCCATAAATTGCCATCATATTGATTCATTCAAAAATAATGTTGTTGAGCTGTCTAAGACAACTATATTTTTTTTTTATAAGAAATGTATATTTATATTTTGAAATATCATACTTTAGTTAATATTGTATTTTTCAATGTGACATTTGAATATGAAAGTATGTATATATGTTGGAACAGTATGACTTAGTAACAATTATGCAGTCTATGTTCTATAGTTGTTTATTTAATATGAGAGTTAGTTATTATGCAGTCATGTTTTATAGTTGTTCATTTGATATGAGTTAGTTTTATAATTAGTTTGAGTCATACTTTACTTATTCTAGAATAAACTTTTCATAGGTTGCAATACACCCTTCTGCGATAACAATTAGGCAGTACTGTTCTAGTTATTTATTTAAATATGAGAGTTGGTTTTGTAATTAATTTGAGTCTAACTTATTCTGGAATCAACTTTTCATAGACTTTAGCACCTCCTTCTTTGTTTTTATTAGCCAAATTGAATTGGTCCGACTATGTTACTATTGCCATACTAGAGTTCAACGTCCTAAAATGGATCGGGTCTTTTCCTTTTATGTCGCAGGGTTAAAACCAAAAAAATCAGTAAAGGAAGACATATATTTTCCTTTACTGATTTTTTTTTAGTCTGGAATCCAGATTATACAAGGAGCCAGTGTTTGTGCTAAGTAGAATTGAAGGATGTAGTTCTTTTTATCGCATAATTACGTCCTCGAGCTCGAGGTTTGAATTTCTTCCTGGAGACGAATCAATAGGATGATTCAAAGGAGTTCTGCATCATGCACCTTGTATTGCGGCTTAGACCGTTCGCAACACACCATTCTGCGGTTATATATTTGGTTTCCTAGATTACTAAGACTGATGTTAGGTTTGATAATGCAGAAGCTAGTCATTTGCATAACTTAATTAAGTTTAGTGAATATAGTTTGTATTATTTAAAGTTAGGTAACTAAATCAATTGAACAGGTATAAATAAAGTTGGGTAATATTTTAAAAATTTTCAAGTTATATAGAATCAAAATTGATATAAAATATATTATTAATGCACATCTAATATTATAATATAGTTTTTAATTTTGATTCTTCGATTCGGTACGGTATGAGACGGTTCAATTCAGTTCGGTTCTCGGTTCAGATATATATGAAATTTCTAGAACTGTACTAATTATTTTTTCGATTCGAAGAAAATCAAACGGTCAAAGTTATTTTTCAGTTCGAAATGATTTCGATTCAGTTTTCGAAATGATTTCGATTCAGTTTTCGAAATGATTCTCGAGTCTCATGCTCAGCCCTATTCCGTACCTCCCTCTCTTATTCCGACTTTGAGAGCATACTCATTTTCCACATTTATCCACTCCAAGCACATTTACGCAATTTCACCCACACCCACATACCACAATCAAAATCACTCTGAATCTAACCCCAAATTCCCACAATTTCATACTCCATTACAATAATCTAAACTTCCACACAAGAATTCTCCCCATTTAACACAATCTCTCTCTCTCTCTCTCACACACACACACACGCACAGAACCTCAGGTAGGCGTAGTAATGTTAGATCCAGCAAATGATATGGCGCCACAGGCCTCCTCCCCCACCGTCTCCTCTCTCTCCTCCTCCGATCTCGACACTGAGGTACAAATCTCACGCCCAATTTATCATTCATTCTCCTTTTTTCCCTGTTTTATTAAGAAAATATTTTCCCCCTTTTCGAAATGTACCTACAGACAGATGAATAGATGAAGCTCACATACAGATTTTGTATTTGAAAAAATCAACAGTCGACAGGCTCATTCTTCCCCGACCGGAGCACCTCACTGGGGAGTCTCATGGGCGTCACCCTCCAAGCCATCACTTTCAGAGCCTCGTCCCAGAACCTCCAGCAGGAGAACCCCGCCTCCGCCGTGAGCGGCGGCCGGAGAGTCGCGAATCCCAGGGGCAGGGCGGAGGCGGCCGAGGCGCGGCAGAGGCGGAGGTGGTGGAGCCTGTGCGGGGACGATTGCGACGCCGGGAGGGCTTCACTCGGCCAGTATTTGGAGGTGGAGAGGAGGAGGTTCGGGGAAGGAGGTCCGGCGGCGGAACTGGAGGAAGGGCTTGTGCAGGATGCGCCGAGGAATGGGCGAGCCCTGTTTGCCGACGGGAGGGTTCTGCCGCCCGCGGAGGTGGTGGAAGAGTCGCCTCCGGCGGCGGCGGCGTCGGGACTGTGTAGATTCGCGGCGGTGGAGCGGTGCTGGAGTTTGGTATAGAGTCGATCTGATATGATTTCTATTCTCTATTTTTCTTTTCCTTTTTTATTTTTCCGATTTGAGGCCTTGATTGGGGNTCAAGTATTAATGTTTTTATATAAAAATGGTCGAACCAAATCTTGGATTAGTGTATTATTATGTATTGAACTGCTGCCACAATCGAGTATTTCAATGTAAAATTATTAAAGCTGCATTTTGCACCGTACCAAGCAAAATTTATTCAATTGTATAGGTTTAAGTTTTATTTCTTTCTCTATATAAAATCTACATTTTTAATATTTTAATTGGGCTCAATTTTATGTTCGAATTGACATTCTCAATATAAGGCCCATATTACTTTGTTTTATGATAAAATTATGTGAATTTTTTTTTTAATTTATATCTAACATACTTATATATATTTAGTAAAATTACGTTATTACGAAAATGAATGTATATAAATTACATTTATTAAAAAGTTTAATAAAAATTATTTTCAAAAACTTATAAGTTATAAGTGAATTTGAAAATTATATAACTTAAATATTATTTTTATTAATAATCCAAATATGTAAAGTAAGAAATAATATTTAAATACCATTTTCAATTTCCTTTTTTTATTACTTCACTTTTTAATTTCCTATTTTTATTACATATCTTGACTTATATCTTAATTTTATTACGTCTTATATTATTAATCAAAATAATATTCAAAATATATATTTTTAAATTCTCTTATCAAATTTTTGGAAATAAAATTTATCAAACTTTTGCATAAATATAACTTGTATGGATTAATTTTCTCATATGAGTTAATTGTTAAATATTGTTAATATTTTTGTTACAAATGAGAAAATATACAGTATAAAAATTAATATTATAGTTCACACATTTATGTTAAAAAGTAAAGTTAGTTGGCCTCACATTTAAAAGTTAAATAAAAAGTGAGTATTTAATCGAGAATAACTTAAAATGTAAATCTTTTATTGAGAAATAATAAAATTCATGCCTAAAATTTATACAATTTCAAAATATTCGTCTTTTAATGGAATTTTCCTCTATACCAAATTATTGTTTTGATAACACAGGATGTGCAAATTCTCCTCAAACCTAGATTACACCTGTATGCCATGAACAACCTTTGATTTGAGCATTGGTGACCTAAAAAATACAACGAAAGGGAATTCGATGGAAAACCTTCAACACTCAAGATACAGATCTGAATTTTTGAACTACGATTAAATATTACAAAGTGTCTTGCACGTAATGGTCTGGGAACTTTCTTTTCTAAAGCGGTTGTCTTTGTCTCCACTGTACTCTATTAGTAGGAAAGAGATATACCTGTATATCGTATTCTAATATGATACGTCTCTCAGTTTTGTATACTTATATCAGATAGGTACACTTCCCCATATTAGTGGGATTTTGCATATCTTACCCATATAACCTATTTGGTACTTAGGTGGTAACATCGACCTTCTGACCACTTTGCTATGCCTTTTAACAGGTCGCTCATTGACTTGGTTCAGCGACATGGTAAGAGCTTTAGTGTACCCAATAGGTGTTTGTTTGCATAGCAAAAGCTCGACTTTATTTACAAACATATTTCCAGCATTTTCGAATGAGAATTATGTTTAGTTAAAACTGACTCACTGATCAGCACATACTAATACAAAAAAAAAAAAGGACAAAATCCCGATCGGAGCCAAATTCCAGCAACAACTTTACAAAGATTTCCTTTTCTGGAATTAATACATGTATAAAAGTTGTATAGGCCAAAAAAGTTATTTATGTCATAATGTAACCCAATTGATATAAGCTGTAAAGACTCGTGGGAATTTCATGACAATTTTGCATCTTCGAATCCCGATACTTTTGTCTGTATTTTTAGCACAATCGCTGTATTTTTTACGATTGCCATAACTTTGTGGTGCCAAAAAAGAAGGATCAAAATTTGAATGCACAACGATCCAACGTGCGATAATCTAACGTTCAATGATTAAACGAGAAACGATCCCATGCGCGACAATCCAACGCGCAATAATTCAACGAGAGATGATCCCACGGGCAACAATCCAACACGCGACGATTCAATGTGATCCAATTCGCAATGATTCAACAAGAGACGATCCCAAAAGCGACGATCCAAAGTGTGGCGATCCAATGCGCAATGATTCAATGAGAGACGATCGCACGCGCAGCAATCAAACGTGCGACGATCCAACGCGTGATGATTCAATGTGAGATAATCCTATGCACAACGATCCAACGCACAATGATCCAACACACAACGATCCAACGTGCAATGATCAATTGCACGATGATCCAACGTACGAAGAATCAGCGTGAGACGGTCCAACATGCGATGATCCAACGTGAGATAATCCAACGTACGACAATCATACAATACAACTGACGACGATCCAATACAGGAGGATCCAATTCGCGAGGATCCCTTAGAAAACAAAGGACCTCTTGTGCAAGGATGACCTCATAAAAAGACTTAACTTCTCAAAAAGAAGAACGGTCGCCAATGAAGCTCCTAGAGAAACCTGCTTCAGAAAAAAAAAAATATAAGTAATGGCGATCAATCCTCACTTAGCGTCACAACCAAACGAGTCTTTAACTCCTTATGCTATCCTCTAAGTTCAACAAGAAATTTTCATTTTATCTCATAAAAAAACTTGAACTCTAAATATTCCTTCCTTCCGGTGCATAGCCCAATAAAGTACCCAAACACTCAAAACACTTTTGGTAAAACCCGTCCTTTAGGCGCAAACAACGATACAATACCCAAACACTCAAAATACTCTCGGTTAGCGTGGACATAAAGTCTATAACACCATTGAGTATAAACACAAACTCGCATCTCACGGTGAGTATAAACACAAAACTCGCATCTCACTGTTAGCGTCGACGTACCTAAGCCATAACACTTAAAATTGATTGAAGATGATTAAATGAGATTTTCAATTTGTATTTAAATATTATTTAAAATGTCATGATTAAAGTTGATGTAATTTAAAAGTCGAAGAAAGGTTGTTGGAGATAATCTGTAATTAAAAATATATGAATGGATGAATATTGAATTAAAGTTGAGGTTATATGTGAGGATAATTGATTGGTATTATTTAATTATATTAATAATATAGAGAATTGTGTTGGATTAAATTTAAGTTAGAATTTTAAATTAAGAGGTGTGGAAAAATTTATTCGATCAGTCAAAATCGATCTTAATCTATAGTCAATCTCCCATTAAGTTCATGTGTCAGTTAATTTAGAAAATTCATGCCACATGTGGCTAGCCGAAAGTCCAATGTTTCAATTACGTTACTGACTGTCATTCCGATCTAGCCACCAAACATGTAGTATTATCGGAGACATTGTTATAATAGTAACATAATAGTAGATATAAATTTTAATATCAAACATAAACTATAAAGGTTTAAATAAATATATCTCGACTTATCAATAATATAAGAATAAGACTACCAATTTTAATTATATGTTTTTACGTTAATTATTAAATTCTCCTTATTTATTGACAATATTTTGGGCAGTATTTACAGTACTACAAATTAATTCAACACAATCCAATCATTCTATTTTTCAATATTAATTTTACGTGTATTTATACTGAAAACATTGGTATATTAGTATATTACCAAGAGTATTATATTTTAAAGATTGCAAAAGTCCTTTTAAACGGGTATATTTTTGAACATATCTCTTCGCAGCTTATTTGGATGTATTCAACCCGATGCGTTTAGCTCGCAGCCAGTCCATTTCGTGCTTTTGTTTTTCTTCTTATATTATTATTATTATTATTATTATTATTATTATTATTATTATTATTATTATTATTATTATTATTATTTATTTTGTTTTCTTTTGTGATTTTAATTATTTATAGAGCCCACAAATTTCCATTGACAACCTCCACCACACTTTCCAATCCCTTCCTCTCTTGCACAGCTCAGAATATGATGTAAAGCATACTCGCAACCGCAAGAGTTCTAAACTTCTGAATAGTTGTCAAGCATTTGATATATCCTTAACGCTTTTTTTAAAAAATAATTAATTAGCTTCCAATAGCATCATACATATCAAATATTATATAACATCATATTAATTTACTATTTTTCACGTCATACAAGCTAACATTAGCTTATAAACATTAAAAATAGTATCTTAACACGATTTTTATCTTTTAGAAACGTCATACTAGTTAACAATAACATGATATCCACTGGTTAAAAATAATATATTACACATTCTTATTCTATTTAGATTGTCTATGTATAGAGAAATACTAATTCTTATGTGACTGTATGAGACACTGCAATCATTTAACGTATCAATCTATTATACTCTTTAACTCTTAATATAAATATTTACTTATACTATTAAATATTTTACATTTATTTACGTTGTTTGGTACAATATTATATTTTCAAATAGTGAGAACTCTCCTACCTCAACTATATGTAATTTGATAATTGCGAAATCTTTTCTTATCTGTATATTACCACACATTTCCTGGATTCCACATTCAACGTAACAGCCCTCACTATTATCATACTTTACAATCTCTACATGAATTGAACCCTCCATGATGAGGCTCCAGCTGTTTAATTTTAGTTACACACCCCGAAAATACACTAAAAAGCTGTAATATATATTTCCAAATAAAAAAAAAGTCATAAATATTCTACATAAACTAATTAAAAAAAAAAATCAAGCACGGGGTGGAGTTTCGACGATAGTCTCCAAAGCCGGCTGCCACGACCTCTGCCTCGAATACCTCACCGGACCACCGCTCTCCGCACCATCACCGCCGTCAACGGAATAACCCGCCGCCTCCTGACCGCCGCCAACACCGCCGGCGGAAAGACAGTTAAATTCGGGGAAAATCTTAGAAAGGCTGGTGAGGGACGGCTGCCTGGAGGTTCCCTTGCACGCCTTGTGCGGCGTGAGAGCCCTCATCTCGTCGGAGGTGAGCACGGAGTAGAGCATCTCCATCGGAAGAAGAAAGTAAATCCGGCCCTTCTGGAGCTCCTCGTCGGCGCACATTCCCGGGATCCGCTGCCCGACTCTGAGGTTTTCGGATTCGCAGAGGAATTGGCCCGGGTTCTCGAGCATGACCTCGGCCGCTCGTACGGGGGTATTTGCGTAAATTTGTAGCTTGCCGCCGGAGAAGATCCTGATCTCGCCGTTGGAGATGATTGAAGGGGCACACAGTGCCGCATTACCCATTATTTATTAGCTGTTGATGGTTTTTGTTTTGATTTTTAGTTTGGGGAAACTTGGGAGAGAGAACGGAAAATGCTGCCGTTGGATGCTACTTTATATGAAAGTTTTGGCTAATGGGATAAAAGGATCAATGTTGGAGTCGACAGTCTGTCGCACTTCTTTTGTGGGGTACAAATGTACAATGAAAAGACATACATATACAGGGGGTTTTAATGCACTAAATTCCCATGTATTATGCTAAATCTGTGCGTTTCTCTCTTTTATTTTAAAAATTGCGTTAGACCCCCTTCTATTAAGGTTTTGCATGCGCGAAACACCCTAAACCATCTAAGATGATGGAAGTGGCGTGCACGCGCGTGCTGTGCAGCTTTTTCTTCATTTTTTCACCCCAAAGTGGCGGAAATTATTGTTTTACCCTTGAATTATGTGCAAAACCTAAATGGTATAAAATGTGAGAAACAACAGGTTAGAAAGGAAGGGAATGACCGCTCAACCACTAGGCCATATGGATGGATGTGTAATCCATTGAAAATAAATATATCTATACATCATACTGAAATGAATTAAATAGTTTAAAAATAAGTAAATAAATAAAATAAAAGGATAATATGTCAATTTACTATAAATTAAATAATTAATAATTATAATACTAATAATTTCCAATAAATTAAATTAACTTAAAATAATAAAAAAATTAAATTAAAATAAAGTAAGATAAATTTAATGTATTAGCGTGAACTAAAATTAAATAAAGTTATAATTAAGTAAATTTTAAATGAGAAAAATAAATACAAAAATGAAATAAATAAATAAATAAAATTAAAATAAACTAATTAAAGAAAAATAAAAATAATAATTATATAAGATAATAAAGTATAAAAATTATAAAGTAAAATAAATAATAAATCAAATATCTTATTATGAAATAATAAATTAAATAAATAAAGAACTGAAATTAATATAATATAATATAATAAAAAATATTATTTATCAAATAATTTTAATATGATTTACTCTTAATAAATATATTACTATTTAATATAAAAACAAAATGATAATTTCATTTTAATAAATTAATAATATAAATGTAAAATAAATTGTAGTATAAAATTTCAATATACGTTTTAATGAATTGACGTAATATAATCTGTATAAATTATATTAAATATAATTTATAATAAAATTAAATGATTAATTTAATTAATTAAATTTATAATAAAATTAAATGATAAATTAAATTAAATTAAATTTGTAATAAAATTAAATGATACTTATATATATAATATATTATTAAAGTATAATTTCGAAAATAAAATATTTTTTATTAAATAGCTATATATGATTTGTATTTATTTATTTTAATTATTTTTATACCATTTAATATTTTTTAAAATCTTTTATAAATATATAGATTTACTTAATTATTATATTATTTATTATTTAACTACAATTTTTTATATTTATTTATATTTTATTTTAATTTTTTTGGTTTAACATAATAAGTTATTTAAATTATTTTTTTCATTTAATTTTATATAATTTAGTTTATTATATTTGAATTATCATAACTTTATATTTTAATAATTTAATTTAATATAATTTATATATTCTAAATTTAATTTCACTTATCCATAACAATGTCGATATATATCAAACATTCCTAATTCTAACACTCAACCTTGAGTGGTGTAGTGGTTGTATTGTTTGTATAAAATTCAGAGGGTAAACGGGACTTTTGAAAAAATAGAGACAAGGGAGTGTGTGTGCACGTGAAACTTTAATAGAAGGGAGTATGACGCAATTTTTAAAATACAGGGGGGAAACGCGCAAATTTAGTATAATACAGGGGGGTTTGATGTATTAAACCCCATATATAGGGTCGACCCTTATATTGATCAATTAAAATAAATATTAATTTATATAAATAAAAATAGTTATTATTATATTTAAATTAATTATATAATGAACATATTGATTGACCGACATTGACTGTTGGTGACTGGCGTCAACCGACGACCGACGGATAATTCGATCAATATATTTTTGTAATATATAATTAATTAAATTTTATAACATTTATTTTTACTACATAATTAATAAGATATAAATGTGTATTTAGTTCATTTATTATGTATATTTTCGTAATAAATAATGCAAATTTAGTTCATATAAATACATACTTGGTTGAGAACATGGTAGTAAGGCTCTAGGATATTACTCTTTATTGCATATTTTGACTGTACATTTAAATGCATTTACTTTGTATATAGTTCTTATTTAGCTAATGAACAATACATACATAGTGACAAATTTTGACTGTACATTTAGTTTATTAAAAATACTTTTAGTTCATACATAGTGCATATATATTTAGTTCATGAACAATGCATACATAGTTCATATTTAGTTTATGAACAAACATTCTATATTTTATTAAATTTAAATGCATATTTCTCTAATGAAATAATTATAAAGCTGGTTTTGTTTGCCCAAAGATTTTTTTTCTGTAAATTGCAAATTCTGACTGCACATTAGTTCATACGAAGTGCATACTTAATTCATTAACAATGTATACTTAATTGCTATTATTGTGGCACATTTAGTTCATATAAATTTATATATAGTTCATACCAAATGTATATTTAATTCATATAACTGCATATTTTGAGTGCAAATTTACTTTATACGCATATTTGGTTAATAAAAAATGCATATTTACCGTACTGATCAATTAGGAGTTTTGCTAGAGGGAATGAGCTTAAAAATCCACAATATAAAGAATGATCATAGTGGTAACCCTACCATGCTGAGTGGAGATCCCACGAACTTGGTTCAAAGGGAAAACTAAGCTATGAAAATTCAGTTGAGCACTTGGAATATATGAATGTCCAAAGTTATTCCCTAGAGCACTCCAAGTGCAAGATGACCTGTTGATTGTGGTGAGGTTAAATCATGTGGACTTTTAATGAATCCATAACCTTGTAAAGGTGGAGTATGACAGGATACTCTTGATAGGGAGATCATCTATGTAAGTGTGAAGTGAGGGCCGCTTCAAATGTAAACACTTATGATCCAAAGTGTTGTCCATGGCAAAACGGACACAACGATAGAACGGAATGGAGTTAAGACTCTATTGTGTAAATGTCATTGACTCGGTATGCACTACGGAGGAATAATTCAAGGCATTATGTCCACTAGTCCGCCAGTGCATCCGATGATGTTTACAAAGAAAGGTTCAAAGCCAAAGCTACCTTCTCTGATGCAATAGAGTTTTGTGAGGATTGAGCACAATAGTATATATATTTAATTTACACTTTTTTGGGGGATTGTATGTGAAAGTGTAAAGGGGCGGCTGCTGCACCGCCCCACTTGTTAATTAAAAAAAAAAAATTAATGAAAGTTAGGCCGAATTGGACTAATTTTAGCCGCCCCCCATATGCTCAAATCTTCTATAAATAGGGGACGTTTGGGCAGGAGGAGTACATAAGAAGAAAAGGAAGAAAAAGAGATAGAAAGAAAGAAAGAAATATAGAAATAATTTTGGAGGGATAAAAATATCAGTGGAAAAAATATATAAATATTTATTTGTTATCGAAATAACAAAAGGGTGATATTTTTATTCCTATTTTTCAAATGCTCAATTCGCGACTCCGTTCTTGTTCGCCGGAGCTCGTAAATCTGGTGTGCTATAGATTTAGAGACGTTTGCTGTTGTATTTTTTGGGAAGTTACGCCTGAATCGTTAGCTGCCACACGGGGTGTATTATTCTTGCGGAAAGAGTTTTACTTGCCTCGGCTAAAATCTTTTTGTTTTAAAGTTTTAAATTATTTTTTGAGTTGTAATTTATTTTTCAGTTCAATTGTAATTTTCTAATTTTTTTTAGATTATTTGTAAGAACTGAAAAAATACATATCAATTCGTAGGATTCCCGTGTAATTTTGACACCAAGATCTAACAATATTCATATACATAATTTATAATATTTTATTTACGTATATAGATGTGAACATGAATTATATTTAATAAAGAAGGTATATATTAATATCATTTGGGGGTTCTTATTTTTTACGACATTTCTTAGTATTTGTGCTGTTATTCATTCTTTTTACATACTTCTTCTTTATATGAATATATAACTTGGAATCAAATATTACCAACTATTATTATATCTTTATAATCAAATAAGAAAAAGCTTAACGAAACGTTCAAATATTAAAGATGACAATAAGGTAACATGCAACACTATAAACTGATACTAGAAAATTTGAAGTGTGTCCAAAAACAAAAAGATATCAAAGGGAGTGATCTGGTATTAATTTGTGCATTACAAATAGTTAGCGATAGAAAAAAGAGGGCTGTAGTGTATAAAATAATGTTGGTTATCTGTACAAATCAAGAGATATTCATCTACAATATTGTTCTGTTTGCAAACATCTCACCAGGATCTTTTAATATTAATGTAGGAGTTGACGGGAAGTCTTAGCAATATGAAAAGCAGGGCATCATTAGTTAGGTATATGTTTCATACCAACTTAATTAGTTTTAAAAAAAATGGTGCATTGTATATGGTTCGTTGGTTTGAAGGAATATTGATGTAGTTGTAAAATTGGCACTAAATTAAACCATGAGTTAGTATTTTAACTTGGTTAAGCAATTGTTTTGTCTTTTAATATGTTAATTGTTAAGTTGTATTTTAACTTGGTTAAGCAATTGTTTGTCTTTTAATATGATAATTGTTAAGTTGTTAAGTAATGTAACTAATTAAAAAGTAGAATTGTCATATAGTTGAAAATCAACTCTCTCTCTATTATTTAGTCCAATGATTCTATAAACTTGTTGTTTTGCCGAATGTATGGAAAAATTGAGAAATTGTTATATTCTAACAAAAAAAAAATAAAGAATTGGTCCGATCTTTGCTTGACAAGAAGTCTTAATTAAGTATGCAATCGCCAATCATTGGCGGGTCAATACTCACGGCCATCGACCATCTTATATGATTACGG